GGTACGTCTCTCTCTCTCTCTCTCTCTCTCTCTCTCTCTCTCTCTCTCAGTGTTTGCAGTTTCTGAGCTCTAGGGATTCAATTCTGCGCTGTGTTATCAGCTTGGCCTTAGGGTTAAGGCTGGGCCATCCATAAATTCATAGACTTTTTCTTGAACAGGTACCTTCTTCCTCTCTTTTTTTTTTGCCGTTTTTCACTCAAATAATATTTATTTCGCATTTTGAAACCCTAGTTATTGTATGCTATTTTCCCCATCTGAGCTTGCGGAGAAACTAGATTAACAAGGTTCAGCTTGTGAAACCCTATCTGTGCAAGTTATTTTGTTGGTTGATACTTTCTGTAAATTTAATGGGTGAACTTACAAATGGTTCGCGAACTCCATTGCCTACTGGTATCAGTGAAGATAAGGTAGGGAAAGCAGTCGATTCATTGCTAAAATGGGTTAAATCTAAGGCCAAGCACCAAAAAGCTCAATTGCTGGAGCACGATGAGCTAGTTTACCTGGTATTAAACCTAAAAGCTATCCCTGCAAAAGGCAGAGTAAACCCATTCAGGATCCCGATTCCCCACCCTGTGTACAACTTCGATGGTTCCACTGAAATCTGTCTCATTATCGACGATCGTGAACGAGGCTTGGACCCCAAGTTAGCAAAGAAAAAGATCAAAGATGAGAACCTACCCATCTCCAAAATCCTCAGGCTTTCGAAGCTCAAAACAAATTACAAGCCATTTGAGGCCAGGCGCCAGCTTTGTGGATCTTTTGATCTCTTTTTTACGGATAGAAGGGCTCTTCCTGTTTTGCCAAGGCTTTTGGGGAAGGCATTCTTTAAGAAGAAGAAGACCCCCATATCTGTGGATTTGACTCATAAGAATTGGGGTGAACAATTGAAACGTGCTTGTGGGTATGCTTTTCTTTATCTAAGAACTGGAACTTGTAGCATTATAAAAGTGGGGAGAGTTTCTCAGTCTAGAGATGAGATATTAGAAAATATAATGGCTGTTATCAAGGGTTTGAGTCCAGTTATTCCTAATAAATGGAGCAATGTTCGATCTTTGCATCTCAAATCTTTGGAGTCTTTGGCTTTGCCTATTTATCAGGCAATTCCTGAATTGGGTCTCAAAATTGAGAGCTTAAAGAGGTCAGAACCAGAGAAATTGGGTGAAAAGTTGGCAGAGAAAGAGGAAAAGATACAAGAGATTGGCGATGTTTCTGATAAGGAAAAGTTCAAAAGGGGGAGGATTCATGAGGTTCGGTACATGGATCGCAACCTCGACGATATGTATGCTGACTTATCTGACGATGGTGATGATGATGATGGCGATGATAGCCATGTTAATGAGGATGATGGGTTCCTGGATGAAATTGATAATGGTGTTGGTAAAATAGATAAATCAGATAAAAAGAAGAAAAAGAAAGATAATGAGAAAATGGGTGAGAAGAGGAAGAAGGCAAATGAGAAGGTGGAAAAGAAGAGGAAGAATTTGGATGAAGAAAAGGATGCAAAATTGTTACATAGCCTTGACAAGGAGGTGGTTGAAAAAAAGCCGAAGAAATCAACAAATAAGAAGAACTTGGATGAAATTGATAATGGCGTTGGTACAATAGATAAATCAGAAAATAAGAAGAAGAAGAAAGAAGATAATGAGAAAATGGGTGAGAGGAGGAAGAAGGCAAATGAGAAGGTGGACAAGAAGAGGAAGAAGTTGGATGAAGAAAAGGATGTGGAATTACTACCTAACCTTGACAAGGAGGTGAATGAAAAAAAGCTGAAGAAATCAGCGGATAAGAAAAAGGCAAAGAAGAAGGAGAAGTTGGATGAAGACAAGGATGTGGAATTTTTACCTAGCATTGACAAGGAGGTGAATGAAGAAAAGTTGAAGAAATCAGGGAATAAGAAAAAAGCGAAGCACGTGATGCCATAGAAGGATGCGCCTTTGAAACCTAGTTCTAAAAAGGTGGGCCTTGCGAATGAATAAGTTTTTGTTTCTTGTGATGATGAACAGAAACCAAGTAAAACTATGGCCTCAGAGGATAAAAAAGCAAAGAAGAAAAAGCTAGGCACTACCAAGAAGCAAAGGACCCAGTGGTATCATCACCGATTTTGAGCATCTTCCTTTTTTTTTAAGTTGTTTCTTTTTTTGGCTCAGATTTTTTAGGAAAATTTGACTTTTTATGTCATAGCATATCAAAAAAAAAGGAAAAAAAGGGCTGTTTCCATTTTATGGGTTGAATGTTGTGGGTTGAACTTTACCATGCTTTCTGAGTTAAGTACTGAAGAGCCGTTAGTTGAACTGAAATTTTTGGTCCCCTTTGATGGTCTCTCATGGACTGAGGATATAATTGAGTTTGCTTGTGGGTTGGACAGAGGCCTTTTATGCTTCCTTAGTTCCTCGTGGTTTTCTATTGTTGACTTTCTTTTACACAATTTGGATCACACAAATAATTTACAGTCATCCTTTCATTTTAATGGATTTGGGAGTCTTTGTTGGTCTGTGAAATCTGTGGGAGTTCCTTTGGTCTTTTTGCGAAGTTACTTCTCATGTCAGATACATTATAAGTTTAGTTTTGTGAGAGATCTTTCACAATGACTTAGACTTTGATGAGACCCTTATATTTGGGTTCAAATTCATGAATCTAAGGCAGTTGCCTGAGTAGGATTGCTAGTGTGCGTCCGGAGACTTAGTCTACTTAGTTGCAGTGTAGATACTGATTTTCTTAGGATTTTTAATTTAAGGTACATCTGTTGGATATGCTTGTTTTCGATTCTGCAGGCATATCTATTTGGAAAAGTGAGCTTGTGTAATAACTTTTTATCTGCTTGGATATACTTGTTTTGGCAGTTCTATTTGTGAAAGCAAGCTTATGGTAATGAATTCCCTTTGTATGGGGATTGCATAATAGAAATTATAGCAAATGGGCATGTTGGATTATTTTGTATGGGTTTATATTTTAGAAGATTATTTATCTTTATTACGAGGAGGTTACCCTTCTTTTTAGCAATTAGATGTCAAATTGGATGGCTTGAGGTATGTGACAAAGTTTTTTTTAAACTTTTAGTCAGAAAACAATCACCCGATTTGAAACTGATGGCAAAATTGTTTATGATCTTTTTGTGCTAAAAGTAAATAATCTCATTGCATACTTTTCCAATTAAAAATGTGTGCACTCTCTTAATGAAAAATGAGAACTTTATAGTTATGTTTCTCTCTAAAGCTTTAAACCCTTCGTTGATCCAAAATTTTCGGAGCACATTAGTTCACAAAATTTCGACCACGCATTTCTAGGTATATCGTGTAACTTTGCATTGATTCCATGAAGCAAATACTCAAGAGTTCCTTGTATCCAGGTTTGTCGAGACCAAATCAGATTGGCCAGCTGGTTGATTAGACGGCTGATTGGTGGTGCCTTAGCCAATTTAAGTCTAATATAAAAATTGGGTTTGGTTGAAAAATTGTGAAGTTTAATGTTTGATTGATTTTAGTATGTCAGGATGTTTAGTCTTGATCAATTTGATTGGATTTTTGAAAGGGATTGTATACAATGAAACCATTTACCTGTCATACAAGGTAGTAACAATTATTTACAACCATCCGATGTGAAATTTGATATCTTGGATGTGTTTCAAAGTTTTAAAAAATTTGTTTGAAGTTTGAGTTTGGTCAATGAAATAATTTTAGCCACTTAATTTCACATTCAATGGTCAAGATTACTGTAACCACTTTATACCAAAGGTAAATGGTCTTATCGTATATTTTTTTTTGTAAACTCTATTTCATAATTTTGAACCACTTTTTTTAAAAAAAAAATTACAATTCAACTGGTATGAGATGATCGGTCGTTCTAGTTTTGACATCCATACCTCTCCCCGATTCATTGGCCAATCCAATATGGATAACCTACTTCGCCTCGAATTCCGTTTTGACATCCAGACCACTCCCCGATTCATTGGCCAATCCAATATTGATAACCTACTTTGCCTTGAAATCCTTTTCATTGCATTATTAGAAAATTACTGTCGGGTTCGCATCAATTTCGACAAATTAAGGTAGGGGCAATTTGTAAAACTTTTTAGATGAATAAAACCCTGAGAATTTTCCTTGTCCACTCATTTGAGAGATAAAAGTCTCAACTTGGTGTTTTTTTGTAATTGTGTTTATATGGGAAGCCAAAATACTTATAAAACTACAAAAGGATTACCTATGTGCCCAGTTTAGCTCCGCTCCTGACTACATGAGATGATTTTATCATGTTGAACTCGACCATGATTCAATGAGATTCTGGGCTCGGTTGTAATGAGGATTCGATTCTTCTAGGGGTGGCACCAGGTCGGGCTGGACCTGGACCCAAAAATGTGAGTTGGGACCTGAATCTGGACCCAAACCCGACACAAAGATTAAAATATATATGTATTTAAATATATTTTATATGTTTTCATGAATTGAGAAATACGGGACCCAAATACAAATAATGTTCGGGTCTCTAAATCTTGGAGCCGGATCCAATTTTTGGACGGATAACTGGATCCAGGTCAGGTCTACCCCCTAAATTGTGCTTCTTACTAACCATGAACTTCCATGGACAGTGAGGTCCTCAATGGTTATGTCAAGATCCATTTGCAGTCCCTATATTAAGGGCTGCACATTCATAAATATTCGAACATGAAGGATACCGTTTTCATAAGTTACAAAGAGCATACCAGCCTCGGAGCCTCGCTTTTGGGATGCATTGCAAAAATGCATGGCCCATTCAAGCCGCAACTGCATCATCATCGCATCTTCTTCCAAGAAGTCTTGATTAATGGTTTGATGAGCAGGGTTTGGTACATATGTGATGTCAAACTTCATAAAGGGTTTCTATCATTTTATTAGTAGTCGTCGAGAAAGGATTGGTTGGGTGATTAAGTATCTTATAAAGTTTACCCATAGGAGTTAGACATAGTGAGTCAGAAGTAGCATTTGATTACTTCGTCCGAGTCCCGAGTACTCAAGCTTGCCACCTTGGCGGGTCCTAAGTGCTCGGGCTCACCACCTTGGCGAGTCAGAGTTTTCACGACTTGGGTGTCTCACTCGAGAATATTAAAAATAAAAGATAAAAATAAAAATGCCAAAAATATGAAATTTACTTGTGATACGTTTTTTTACATTTTTTTATCATTTTGGCAAAAGATTGGAAAGTATTTTGGCCATAAAATACTTATTTTTACATTTTTTCCATCTTTTTGGATTATTTCAAATATACCCCCAATCACAAGTTGAATTTTTAAAATCTGTCTTTACTACTTTTTTATTCTCATTTTGATGTGATTTGTTTAATCTTATTTTATTTAAACATACATTTCCTTTTTTATATATTTTTTACAGTACTCAACACTACTCGAGCTGAGTAGTTAGATAAAACATGGCCGACTACTCACCCCGAGTGGTGCTCTCGAAAACTGGGCAGGAAGCGGTGTGGTTTTGAGTTCTACACTGCAAATCCAAAACAAATTTTCACGAAAGTGTGGTTATGCAAATACCGAGCATCGATTATAAAACTACGTCTTTCCCTTCATTATTATGTTAATTAGCAAGACTCCCTAAAGGAGGGGTTTTTTTTTCAGGGAAAATTTTACTAAAACAACCTAAAATGTGAATTATTTATTTAACAATTTATGCCTTTTTTACTTTCAAAGTCGTGAAAGCATGTGCTTTGATTGGATTTTTGAAATTAAATAAAAAATAATTAAAATGTTAAATAGATTATCTCCCATATGTATTTTGATAAAGGTTGTGGTTTCTAAACAATCCAATTAAGGCGCACCTCCAAATTTTATCATAACATATAATTTTGGTGTATATTTTTTTTTAGGATTACCTAAAAATCTATTTTCATATCTAATTATAACATTTTAAACTCCAAAAATGGTTAAAATCAAGTAGATATGTAAACATATAAATATCATGAAAATAGACGGTCTGGATAATGTATTGCAAGTGCACTATTTATGAGACTCAAAATCTTTTTATTTTATTTTAATATTCATACATCTTAATGTCGAGATGATCAATTAGAGCGTCATTCAACATTAAAACAACTTTTTTCGATGGATTTTTTTAGGTGCATATGTAATTCTACATTTTATTTTATGGTTGCAACTTTATATAAACTTTTTCTTTTGATAAATTGCCATTATTTTTATGACTATTGCTGCATTCAAACATGGATTCAAGAGGTATACCAAACTGAACAAGAATGGTATGGATCTTGGCCCAGTTTCCCCCTAAAAGTACGCCTTTTATATATTTTTCTATTTTTTAGTTTTATCTAATGTTCTGTTTAAGTCCCCATTAAATCTCCACTGCATTTTATTGTTATTTTTATTTATTTATTTTCAATCTATTTTTGAAAATGCCGAAGCAACAACTTGACACATAATGCCGATTTAGCGATATGACACAAATTTGAAATGCCTATCCAACAATATAATGTGGATATGTGGGATGAGTGATCCACCCCACCGATTTGAGTTTCGAGACACTGGTATGAAAAAACACTGAGCTAGATTGGAAACAACCAATCTGGATTGGGAATCGTTCAAAACTGGCTTGGTTCCCACATAGCCGCTGGATCTAGTATGATTCTTACATTTTTTTCATTTTCTTCGCATGGTTGTTTTTGTTTTCAATAATTTTTTATTGGCCAAATCTCTCGGCCGGATCACCAATATGTTCCTATATGGCCGGTTCATCTATCAACCTGAGTTTTTTAAACATGGGTTGAGAGATTGAACAAAAACCAACCTCTTTTTT